TATCAACCGTAGCAGTTGAACGAGAATTCAGTGCTGGCGGCAACATTCTAACTGACTTTCGAAGTTGTCTTAGCGCTGAATCTCTTGAAACACTTGTTTGCAACCAAGATTGGCTCTTGGCAAGACGTCGAGCTCAAGAGTCAACGTACCAACTCGAATCGGAGCATTACATGAATGCAACAACAGATGGAAGTCCGAGTTCTGAAGAATAAGTTATAATTTTTTTTGTTAATGTAAATATGTAATTAGTTTTTTTTAGCTGAGCGATATATAAGCTCCTTCGAGGGTTTCTTTACGGTTCTTTACCTCGTCGCTTTTTTTGAACCGTCAGGATATTAAATGTGGTTGTTCTTTAGTTAGTGTATTATTCATTTAAAATATTTAAATAACAACTACATTTTTAGATTACAACTACATTCCGGTACTTCATTCTTTCCTTAAACAATTGCAAATTTAAAATTTTATACTTAAAAATTTTAAAAAAAGCAAAAAAAAAAATAGGGGGGGCGAAACCGGCCGGTCCGGTATCGGAACCGCCGGTCCGGGAACCGGAACCGGTACCGGCCGGCACGGTGACGGTTCCGGTGACATGGGGTGGCGGTACCGGAACCGGCGGTTCCAGAACCGGAACCGGCGGTTCCGGAACCGGAACCGTACCGGAACCGTACCGTGTCCACCCCTAGTTGTATCTAAATTGTACGTCACATGCATTCACTGACACCTTGATAATTCGCACCGACATAAAATGTTAGTACAATTTTTTTTATTGCATTAATATTTTGTATATGTATATGAATACTTGTGGCATACAACTCGAAGTAAAACCCTGCTCGATGTACCCCTAGCTAGTATCTTTGGTACATTTATTTGTATCATTATTATTACACAAAAATGCAAGCCCTTCCACATCATATTACACATACAACTAACTAAACTTATTGATGAATGATAAACTCTTTGGTGTGGAATTGGACAACCATCAATCATATCAGTTGTACATTTTACTAGAGAGTAAAACATACGACTAATTAATTAATTAAAGTCTTTCGATGACTGTCTTATTTATTCCACGAAAACTTGTTCAATGACTTTGAGCATGGCATCTCTAGGCTTGCAAAGAGCTTCAAGAGTGTGGGCCTTAGCCAAGGTAGTCCCAGAGCATTCACATAGGTCAATTTTCCCAGCACTTGGCCTTTCCCAATCGAAGCACTGAATGAGTGACCCTACAGCCAACCCTACAAACTTCTGTGCCAGTCCAGCACCAGGGCAAGCCCTTCTTCCCATCCCAAATGGCAACAGTGTGTGGGTCTCAATTTCCTTTATGTTTTCGAACCTTTCTGGCCTAAAGTTTAAAGGGTCTTCATGCCACACCTTAGGATCCCTATGGACTGCCCACGCATTGACCAGCATCATTGCATCTGTAAAAAAAAAATTGTTAAAATCTTCTCATCTTTTATTCTTATACCTTTTCATGAGACATTCACAAGTATTGAATAATAACGGATATATGTGAATATATGGTTGAATATAAACTCGATCAATATAAACTCCACTGAAAAACACTACTCCGTATATGTCAAAGAACAAGCTCAACCAAATATAAGTTCAATTAAGATTGCGACGATTGTAGACTTAAGAAGGTCAAAGCATTCAGTCAGTCATAAGTTCAAACTTGTGATTTATACGTTCGTACCCTTAGGGACATCGTAGCCTCCAATGGTAACATCCTGCGACGGCATGTGAGGGACCAAGAGTGGGACCGAGGGAAACAACCTAAGAGTCTCGAGAATGATGTAGTGAAGGTAGCGTAGTTTGGGCAAATCTTCTTCTTCAACTAGCCGGTCGTGTCCGACACGTTCGTCCAGTTCTTGTCTAGCCTTCTTTAGCACCTCCGGATGGTTCAATAAAAGTGTCATTACCCACTCTGTGGTAACAACTGATGCATCTGTTCCTGCTATTATTATTGCCTATATTCAACAAATTTATTGCATGTCAAGTATATATCATTTCTAAACAAGGAACGACTAATTCAATCTAATTGTGTACGTTTTAGGAAAAAAAACGTACACAATTCAAGCTTGTAGTTGAAGATTTATAAAGTGTTTTAAATTCTGACAATAATTAAGATACTATATGTAAAAATGAACTTAATTGATCAATCCAATAATTTAATATATATACTCATATATACTCACAATGATGAGGCCAGTAATGGTTTCATCGGTGTAAGATTTAGGCTGAGATTGTTGGAGAGCAAGCAAACGATCAACCATGGTGTTCTTCCTTTGCTCCGTTATTTGACGGCGGTGTTGATTCAGCAAGGCGCTCATGAACTCGTCCGTTTTCCGTGAGTGAGCCGTCAACTTCTTCTCCAGGCCGTTAAAACCTAACCATCCCAACACCGGAAAAATCTCGCCGGGGTTTGAAGCGCTAGTCAACTCCAGCGCCTCCTTGGTCAACTCCCGGAACGTCTTCGCCTCCTCGTCGTCCTCCGCCTCCTCCCCGTAGTACCTCTTCCCCGCCACCATTCTCATTATGTTGTTGAATGTCAACTCCACAATCTTATTTTCCACATTTACCTGCGAATAATTAAATTATGTCACGTTGAATTATTCGCTCATCTACAACCATGTTTTTTTGTTCGAAACTACACCCACTTTCTTTATTTAAGTACTATAAAAAAGTCTTTTTGAATTGTTTTTTACTTTTGTATCAGTTCTTTACCGATGCAAAAACATGCGATGCAATTATTGAAAAAACTTTTGCATCGGGCATTAGATCTCATCCAATACTCCTCCCACTTTCATTTAAAGTATTTTGATAATTTTTTTACATTTTTGAGCTCTCTTTAAATATCGTGAAAAATCCATTTGGGAAGTTTTTCTAAGATGCAGGGAGTATGTTCTAAGAGGTCTATAACTTTCATGCAAAATTTAGTTTTACTCGAACCTTGCATATAAACAAAAAATTAAACTGACTACAGTGGCGGAGCCAAGATCCAACACCAGTGGATGCAAAGTAGAAGAAAAAGTTCGTATCTAGCAGTTACCGGAGATGAACATATTTAAATAAATATTGGTCTAATGGTTTCTCCTTACTCTGATCGTAGACATGGATGGTAATCTTAAATAAGGAGTATTTCTATTCTTCTTTCTGCTCTCCGCGTCCGTAGTGCTCTTTCCCTCCCCGGTACTCTTTTTTTTAGGTTTGCTTGTACTCTTTGTACTATATATATATATATATATATATATATATATATATATATATATATATATATATATATATATATATATATATATATATATATATATATAGAAAAGGGACTACCTGCAATTGTAGTCATTTGCTCCCATGTGGTTCCGCCACTGACTCACTTACAATCAATTTTAATCTCGTGAATAATTTAGTTTCGAAAGGCACACATGTTTAAATAAAAACAGTCTACGTATAGCTATAAACTTAAGCTTGTGGTTACGTTTGTTTTTGATATGGTATCAAAGCGTTATTGAGATCTCAAA